AATAAATAAAAAAAATAAAAAAATAAATCTTTAAAAAAAAATAAAATAAAATAAAAAAGAGGATTAGTAACCTCAAAACATTCTTATTTCAGTCAAATGGGTGACAGTCTCTTCATATCATCCCTAATGTTAACATTTCCTATTGCATCAAGTCGCATTAGAGCACTTCGTTGGTTAGACAACACCACAGATTTCTCTTCTAATTAGGATCTCAGGAATGAAGCTAAAAGACCAAACTTACTCATCCTGATAAAGGATCACACATTTGACTTTTGAGCTCACTTCTGGACACTAGTGAAGCTTAATTAACATCTGTAAAGCCCTTGTACAGCAGCACATAGGAACCCAAAAAAACTGAGATTATAGGAGACTCCTTATACTGATTATCCACCACCAGTTTTCCTTTCCCTTTTGTTTGCCTGTCTCCACTCCAGGCTGCCAGAAACTGTTTAGTGGGAGAGAACCAAGTCATCAAGGTGTCCGACTTTGGGATGACAAGGTAATATGGGCATGTGGCGCCAGGAAAGTCTCAGGAATGGGATTCAGGCCCCCAGAACGTTCAGACATTCTTTCTCCACTCTCTACCCAGGTTCGTCCTCGATGATCAATACACCAGTTCCACAGGCACCAAGTTCCCGGTGAAGTGGGCATCCCCGGAAGTCTTCTCCTTCAGCCGCTATAGCAGCAAGTCAGATGTGTGGTCATTTGGTGAGTGTCATCCTGGCCCCACACCCACATGATCAAGGACTGCCAGGCAGCTGTTTTATTTGTCAAATCCAGGCAACTCTACTTGCCCAGGACTGGGTGGTGAGGGCATCCCACTGATAGTCTGTGTGTGATAATGGTTCTGAAAACTATGAAGAGGTCCTCATTTTTGCATTCGTTCTTGGAGATCTTTGAAAACATATTTTGTTCAACAGTATTTTCCCGCACGTACGCCTCAATAAATATTTTACTCATTTATTCAGCAACAATTTATCAAGCCTCTACTATAAGCCAGGGTTAATCTAGGTGCTTACAATGCATAGGATAGAAAAGACTCCTATTCTCTTGGAGCCAAATCTTAGGGGGAGACAGATAACAATCACATAAACAAGATAATAGATATGTACATAAGACAAAGTCACATAGTGATAAGTAAGTGCTATGAATAAAACAAAACAGTCAATGGAATAGAAAGTGACTGGGATGGAGAGTCCGTTCTAAATAGCATGGTCTGGGAGGCCTCTCCAAGGAGGTGACCCTTGATCTGAATGATGAGAGAGAGTCATCCCCACTTGAGGATCCAGGGAAGATTTGGTGTCTCTGACCAAAAAACCAGCAAGTTTAAAAATTTGGTGTGTCCAAAGAAAAGAGGGGTACTGTCTTGGTGAGAGACCATTAGACAATGAAGTTGGCAGTTCATGATAAGGAATTAGACTTTCTGATGAGCGCAAATGGGCATGAATGAAAGGCAGAATGAATGATGTTGGTGTGGCAGAAAGTACTAGCCATCCTTGCTGGATTTGTCATATCCTCCTAAGCCATAGTTTGTGTGTGCTAAACTATACACAAAGACATGCCAAACAACCTCTTTGATTTGGACTATAAGAAGGGTTATACTTTGGAAAGGAATGAGTTGGAGTTTGATTTTGCCAAATGTATTGACTTAAGAGTAGAAACCAGGGAAAAGCTAATTAAATCTCTTCAGAGAACTAGTTCTGAAGTTTCCCCCAGTATTTTAGAAGAGCCAACTTCTATAACCGAGTGGTTTGTAAATTTCTAGTTCTTCTGAACTGTTCCTTAAAACAGCTTCCCTATTTGACAGACCCAGCTAAGATTTTGTTATTCAAATTTAAGTTACTGAATGAACTTGGAAGAAATAAAACTGCACCAGAGCAATCTCAGAAGATTCTATTTTCCCCCAAGTCTGTATATAATGAGGAAAGGTATGGCTGACATGTGGCCACTCTCTATGGGTGATGCAGCCGGTCACACTGCGCCAAGCCCGGTATCCCATACAGAGATGTTTGCACCCATGGCCACTTTGTCACATTCACCTGCCAACTCTGCATGAGGCTTATTCTGCCAAAGGTTGTCAGCTTGGGAATTTTCTGTTGCATCATAAAATTAGGGGGTTGAGCTACAGTCCATCCCTGCCTAGGATATGCCCCCTGAAGTGTCCGAAAATGAGACTGACTAATGGAAGCAGGGTAGAGAGGGTGAGATAACATGAGTGGCAAGCCTGAGAAACAGAAACCTGGATGGACTAAGAGCTTGATGCCTGCCTCGAGGCCATTGAACTTTGTCATGCATTTTAAGGTTTCTGCCCTAATTAACTGTGCTATTTTAAGCAAGTCAAGCAAGCTCTTTGGGCCTTACTCAGTTTCCAATCAATGCATTACAAGGTTTGCATGAAAGCAAATGTTTTCAAATAGAGCTTTGGGCAGCAGGCCTCAGTTTTCCAAAGAAATCTCACTTCCAAAGAAATCTCACTTCCAAAGAAATCTCAATTTCTAAAGAAATTCTGGCAACTTGGGGAGCTAAACAGTCTTATTTACAGGCAGGCTCCAAATTTCTAAAACTGCAGAGGCACCTGTGAGGATCCCTTAGAAATCCTGATCCAGAGGTCTGGGCCAGGGCCCAGGATCTGCCATTTGAACAAACTTCTGAGGTGATTTTTATTCAGTTGTTTTGGGAATCGTACTTTGGAAAACCCTGCCCTAAGACTCCTTGAAATATGCTTTGAAAACCACTGAAATAGGTGATCTGCAAGCTCTCTTCCCACTTTGACATCCTATGAATATATTAGTACATAATAAAATTGGGTGTGACATTTCTGCTAAAGACAGAAGAGGAAAGGGGATTAAATCACAGGTCAAAAATAGACAACCCAGAGATGTGTTTTTGCTCTGTCTACACAGTATTTTTAAAGATCAAATTGAGTTTCTATTTCTAAACTCTCAATTTATGACTTCTTTTTAAAAAATCAGAAAATGTGGCAATCCCAAACCCTCATCCCCATGCGCCCTATGGTGGCTGGAGCTAAATCACAGCTATTCTCTGAAGACAGAACTTGACCCCCAGTTCTCCACAGTCCCCCTAGTCTCCATTATGGCACATCTCGTCCACTCCACCCATTTACATGATGTGTAGACATTTGAGTTTACATCCCCTGCAACTTTTAGTAGTAACATTTGAGTTAGATACAAAAAAGGGCTGAAGTTGAAAGTTCCTCACCACTAGGAAGATTGGGAAATCTCTGTTCTTTAGAAATAGTACAGGCCTAAGGAAGCCTCGGGTGGTTTGGTATTGTCCTCCCTGAAGGTAGGGACTTGAATCTGAATGTCAAGGAATCTGCAATTTCTTGATGTAGGCTTATTTGTTTGTTTGTTATTCATTCACTGTGCTACACTCACCATTTCTTGTAGGCGTGCTGATGTGGGAAGTCTTCAGTGAAGGCAAAATCCCGTATGAAAACCGAAGCAACTCAGAAGTGGTAGAAGACATCACTACTGGATTTCGCTTATACAAGCCCCGGCTGGCCTCTGTGAATATCTACCAGATCATGAATTATTGCTGGAAAGAGGTCAGTAAAGGAAGTGGTTTCCCCCTACATTGTAATCTATAACTTTAGGGTCTGTTCCCTTCCTTGAGAAAGAAACCCTCTTAGAGGATGAGGAAGCAGGTGTAACTAAAGTAGATTAGCAAGCAAGTGGCTTTGAGTGTCTACTAATGAAAGAGTTTGCCCATCTCTAAAAGAGCTGGCAGCGACCTTAAATATTATTTGATCTGCAAAAGAATGTCACAAGCCAACAACACACTGTTAGAGAGGAAGAGAGGGTGAGATACCATTATAGCATTAAACAGAATAGTTTCACTGCCCTAAAATCCACTGTTTCACTTATTTACAATTCCCTCCTTCTCCCCAGAACGCTGGCAACTATTGATCTTCTTATTGTTCAAGTTTTACCTTTCCCAGAGTGTTATATAGTTGGAATCATATGGTACATAGCCTTTTCAGATTGGGTTCTTTCACTTAGTACTATGCATTTAATTATGCATTTAAGATTCTTCCATGTCCTGGGCACCTGGGTGGCTCAGTTGGTTAAGCGACTGCCTTTGGCTCAGGTCATGATCCTGGAGTCCTGGGATCAAGCGGAGCCTGCTTCTCCCTCTGACCCCCTCCCCTCTCATGCTGTTTCTCTCTCTCTCTCTCTCATAAATAAATAAATAAAATCTTAAAAAAAAAAAAAGATTCTTCCATGTCCTTTCATGGCTTGATAGCTCATTTCTTTTTATCACTAAATAGTATTCCATTGTATGGAGGTACCACAGCTTGGCTATTCATTCACCTACAGAGGGACATCTTGATCACTTGCAGTTTTAGGCAATTGTGACAAAGCTACTATAAATATCTGTGTGTAGGTTTTTGTATGAACATAAATTTTCAGCTCAACTGGGAGTATGATTGCTGGATCATATGATAACAATACATTAGCTTTGTAAGAAACTGTCATGCTCTCTTCTAACAGTGGCTGTACCATTTTCATTTCCCACCAGCAATGAGAATTCCTGTTGTTCCACATCCTCACAAGCATTTAATGTTATCAGATGTTTTGTATTTTAACCATTCTAATAGGTGTATATTGGTAACTCATTGTTTTCATTTGCAGTTCCCTAATGACATATGATGTGGAACATCTTTTCAAATGTTTATTTGCCATTTGTGTATCTTCTTTAATGAGGTGTCTGTTGAGATCTTTTGCCCATTTGTTTTTTAAAGATTTTATTTATTTATTTGAGACAGAGAGAATGAGAGAGAGAGAGCACATGAGAGGGGGGAGGGTCAGAGGGAGAAGCAAGCTCCTTGCCGAGCAGGGAGCCCAATGCGGGACTCGATCCAGGGACTCCAGGATCATGACCTGAGCCGAAGGCAGTCGCTTAACCAACTGAGCCACCCAGGCGCCCTCTTTTGCCCATTTTTTGATTGGATTATTTGTTTTCTTGCTTTTGAGTTTGAAGAGGTGTTTGTATACTCTGGATATAAGTCCTTTATCAGATACGTGTTTTGAAAATATTTTCTCGGGCGCCTGGGTGGCTCAGTCATTAAGCGTCTGCCTTCGGCTCAGGTTATGATCCCAGAGTCCTGGGATCGAGTCCCACATCGGGCTCCCTGCTCAGTGGGAAGCCTGCTTCTCCCTCTCCCTCTCCCCCTGCTTGTGTTCCTGCTCTCGCTGTCTCTGTCAAATAAATAAATAAAATCTTAAAAAAAAAAAAATCTTTAAAAAAAAAAAAATGAAAAAAGAAAATATTTTCTCCCAGACTATGGTTTGTCTTTTCTGTCTCTTAACAGTGTCTTTTACAGAGCAGACATTTTAAATTTTAACAAAGCTCAACATCAGTTTTTTCTTTTATCAATCAGGCTTTTGGTGTTGTATCTAAAAACCTATTACTGAACCCAGTAATTTTCTCCTATATTATCTTCTAGAAGTTTTCTAAGTTTTGCATTTTACATTTGGGTCTCTGATCCATTCTTTTTTTTTTTTTTTTAATTTATTTGAGACAGAGAGAATGAGAGAGAGAGAGCACATGAGAGGGGGGAGGGTCAGAGGGAGAAGCAAGCTCCCTGCCGAGCAGGGAGCCCAATGCGGGACTCGATCCAGGGACTCCAGGATCATGACCTGAGCCGAAAGCAGTCGCTTAACCAACTGAGCCACCCAGGCGCCCGTCTCTGATCCATTCTGAGTTAGTTTTTGTGAAGGGTATAAGGTCTGTGTCCAGAGTCATTATACTGCATGTGGACATCCAGTTGTTCCAGCACTGTTGTTGAAAAGACTACCCATTCTCCAGTGAATAACTTTCGCTCCTTTTGCAAAGGTCAGTTGACTGTATTTGTGAGAATCTATTTCTGGGCACTCAACTCTGTTCCATTGATCTCTTTGTTAATTCATTCACCAATACCACACTGCCTTCATTACTCTAGCTTCACAGTGAGTCTTGAAGTTGGGCAGTGTCAGTCCTCCAACTTTGCTCTTCTTCAGCATTGTGTTGGTTCTGAGTCTTCTGCCTTTCCATGTAAACTTCAGAGTCAGTTTGTCAATATCTACAAAATAACTTTCTGGGATTCTGATTGTGATTGTGTTGAATCTATAGATCCAGTTGAGAAGAAATTACATCTTAATAATAATATAAAGTCTTCCCATCCTTGAATATGAAATGTCTCCATTTATTTAGATCGTCTCTGATTTCTTTCTTTAAAATTCTATATTTTTCCTAATGTAGGTCCTATACATATTTTGTGAGATTTATACCTAAGTATTTTCTTTTTTGATGTTATTTAGCACTTATTTTATGATGTATTTTTTAAAAAGATTTTATTTATTTATTTGTCAGAGAGAGAGAGCGAGCACAAGCAGGGGGAGTGGCAGGCAGAGGGAGAAACAGGCTTCCTGCTGAGCAGGGAGCATGATGTTGCACTCGATCCAGGACCCCGGGATCATGACCTGAGCCGAAGGCAGACATTTAACCGACTGAGCCACCCAGGCACCCCTTTATGATGTATTTTTAATACATGATTTTATTTAATTCTCACAACCATCTTATGAGATAGATACTCTTATTATCCCCACTTTACAGACAACAAAACTGACATTCAAACAAGTTAAATAACCTGCTCAAAGTCACACAGTTAATAAGTGGAAAAGCTTAGATTCAAAAGCCAGCCATATGATCCCAGAATCCCTGCTATTAACAACTAAGACACAATGGCCTCGAACAATACATATGGAAGCATATTTAAAAATCAGCAGAGGGCTATTGAATTCTGGGTGGCTTTGGAATTAACTATGACACATAAGTACAAGGAACTCACAGAGTCCTTTTCTTCCCTCTCTAGAAACCAGAAGACCGGCCACCTTTCTGCAGACTCTTGAGTCAACTGGCTGAAATTGCAGAATCGGGACTTTAGCAGAGACTCAGCACCAGGCCACGGGCTGCAGATCCTCAAAGGGGGAAGCAAATCCTCCCTTCATAGAGCATTAAAAGCTGCCACCAGCCCAGAATTCCCCAGAGGCAGCTGGCCCTGTGGTGCCAGTCCCTGAGCCACCACAGAGGCAGCACCCTGACAGAGGTGGGCAGCTCAGCCCCTGACCTGGGACAGAGGTCCGAGCAGCTGCCTCTTATCTTGTGCGGCCCGCAAACCTCAACCTGACAGCTTTCAGGCACCATTTCTTGCACTTCTTAGAGAAAAGGAGAGACATGGTAGGGCTGTGGATTATTATTTTTATCATTATTTCAAACATGGATCTAAAGTGTAGGGTCGAGGGATTTTCACTTGACCCGGCAACACAGAATCCTAGGATGTGGGGCAAGAGGAATGAGCAGCGGGACTCTTTTTCAAGAACTGGTGAGTTAATTAAGGTCAGAAACAGGAAGCAGCCGCTGGGATTCTGTTAGCCGCAGCTTCCTACCGTAGAGGATGATGGGACAGCCGCTCATAGCTGAGGCCAGATAGGCTGAGAAGCAGCTTTAGGAGGTTTTATTCATCGAGCACACTGCCACCTCCCTCCTTGAAGGGACGTGACGGACTGGGGTGAACAATTATGATCCCATGGTTGGATCTAGCGTCTGGACAGAAAGAGGGCATCAGATGGTGGGGAGCCAACTAGTACAGAGAAAGGCCTTAGGTTGTTACCACTCCAAGGTCCACCTTCAGTACCAAGCCGGGCAGGTGACTGTGCCTCCCCTTCCGCACAGATTGCTTCCGCGGGCATCCGGGGAGAAGATGATTGCTTCTGGACACCGACTCCGGCGGAGGACTCCACCCACCATCAGTTTTTCTGGCGTCTGGGATTAGTCCCCTCTCTGCACTCTTCCACCCTCACCAGCAGAGGGCAGCATTGTGTTGGGCAGTGTGGCCTGCAGAGACCTGGAAACTGGTTTAGGCCCTAGAGATTTGCAACGTGAAGGCTGAGGCTTCAAGTCTCCTCAAAGTCTAGGAGAGGAGCGAGGGATCTGTTCTCACTCAAACCATCTGGATGGAAAGTGAGTCAAGCACTGAATGGGGTGCTTCCAAGATGCACAAGGCAGCCTACTGTTGATGGAGCGCTGAAATATGCAAAGTGAGTATGTACTGAGCAGCAGGCCTTATGTGCAGAGTTTCGTTTCATCCTGAGTTCACACCACCCCCGTGAGAATGTATTCTTATTCCCATTTTACAGATGATGGAACTGAGGCTTTAAAAAGCCAAGACAGCTTGCCAAAGTGACAGAGCTAGGAAATGTAGAACCCACGTCTGTCTGCTGTCAATGCCGTTTCTTTATTCCTATTCAACACTTCTTTCTACTGAGGATGAAAGGGGTTGCAGAGGAGATAAATACAGCTGAGGGAAAGACATAGAAAGCCAATAAAGAAGTCAACCACCAAGTGATGTTTCTTCCGCATCGGCCACTGTGGTTGGCCATGTAGCCCTCCAACTTGGAATAGGATCTTCTTTTTCTCTTCTGTCTTCTCACCTTTGTTAGAGTTAATGACTTTGGAGTTACTCGGTTAATTACCCTTCTGATTCACCCACCCCTCCACAGTCATGTTGCATGATGCCATTTATAGGTGAGCTTCAAAGCAGTTTTGAAAGATCCGCCTGCAGGTGTATAAATGCTTCCTTTAATTATCATTTCAACTTTGAGCCAGCTGCAGTATTCTTGGGCACTTTGTGGAGAAGGGTATTCCCTGATGTAAGAGAGATTTCATTTTCCTACAGTGTTCAGATAAAACTTTTAGAGAGATTATTGGATGGTGTTACAATTAACTCTTTCTAAATCTTGTGATATTTTGACCAGCTGGAGATTCAGATGCATAACTTGTAACTATAATTATTGTGAAACTGGTTGCCTTAAGATAAAACTCTATCATTCAGAAGATGATCTTACTCAACATATCCAAAAGCATCCCTATTTACTTTCTGGCATTTTGTACATTCTCTTGTGGAACCCTTAATTAGAGATGATTTCTGGAACATCCAGCCTGAAGGAAAACATCAAAATTGACTGATTTCTGTGGTCTGGTTTCAAAAATTGCCCCTTGCATGGTGTTATTGTGTTCAAGCTCAGATTCCCTGGGCCTTAACTGAACATGTTAACTCCCCAGTGTCCTATCCTAAAAAATGAGCTTCCTGCCTGTTTTTTTCTACCCCTCTCACATTTTGAAAATGGTACCATGTGTTCACAGGGAATTCCCTTATGCAAAGTTTTGGTTCTAGGTGCATTTTATAGATTTTGCATTTTGTACCTTTTGAGAACTATTTATATTTGGATGTATTGAATATTTATTACTGTACAGTAATTGCTAGTATTCACAATAAAAATGTTACAAATATCTCTAACCATTTATAAAGCGCACATAGTTAAAGGACGGATTTAGCAAATAAAGCTGTATGTTTTAATAAATACAGTATATATGACCTGGGTTCCATATTTGCCCAAATGTCAAACAACCAAAAATTTTCCTTAAATAAAAATGATTACATGGCTTCATGTTCCACAAACAAGTAAAGACTATATATCATTCAACATTTGTTCAACAAGTAAATATCAAATGCTTCCTGTGTTCCTATGATACACTCTGCTGAGAGCTATGGAAACAAAGATGAAAAAAGCAGTCTTTACTTTTTAGAAACTCTAGGTAAGTCATAAAAAAAAAGCAGACATATAAACAAGTAAAATTATAATCTGGCAATTAGAGCAAGAACAGAAATGTAGTCAAAGAGGAGAAGAGCTCAGAAAAGTGATGGAATCTCTCAGGGGAAGGGGGACATCAGGAAAAACTTTCTAGAACCTTGCTACTCAAAGTATGGTCCCCGGACCATCAACAGCAATATGACCAGCTTATGAGAAATCTGAATTCTCTGACTTCATCCTGAGATTCACTGAATGGGAATCTGCATTTTCGCAAGATCCACAGGTGATCATCAGCACATTAAAGTTTGAGAAGTACCGTCATAGAGGATATAATGTCCGACTCTGTTTTGAAGATGAATTATGGGTTTTTTGTTTTGTTTTTAGGAAGTAAGTGGGCAGAAATAAGAGAAATACTTTCCAGGTAGAGGGATAGAGGAAATAGAATGTATGGGGAAGCTATTATCAGTTTATCCTCCCTGAAGTGTAAGTTGTAGGGGTGGGTGTGAGGTGTTGGCAAGGGTAAGGATAATAGAAGGGGTTAGGCAAATTGAAAACAGAAGTTGTAAACCTAGATAAGGAGCATATTTTATTTATTTATTTTTTTGTAATGATTTTGTTTATTTATTTGACAGAGAGAGAGACAGCGAGAGAGGGAACACAAGCAGGGGCAGAGGGAGAAGGAGAAGCAGGCTTCCCGCTGAGCATGGAGCCCGATGTGGGGCTCCATCCCAGGATCCTGGGATCATGACCTGAGTGGAAGGCAGATGCTTAACGACTGAGCCAACCAGGCACCCCAAGGAGCATATTTTAAAAGACAAGAAATGTGGGAACTCTACCTATAGATAGAAAAGATGTTATCAAGCAAGGAGAGGTCAAATCTGTGTTTAAAAATACATCCTGGGGTGCCTGGGTGGCTCAGTTGGTTAGGCGTCTGCCTTCAGCTCAGGTCATGATCCCAGGGTCCTAGGATTGAGCCCCGCATCAGGCTTCCTGCTCAGCGGGAAGCCTGCTCCTCCCTCTCCCACTCCCCCTGCTTGTGTTCTCTCTCTCGCTGTGTCTCTCTCTGTCAAATAAATACATAAAATCTTTTAAAAAAAAAATGCATCGTGCAGCAGCATAGTGAGTGGATTTGAGACAGGAACACTGATGGAACAGAAGCCAATGTGAAGATGATTTTTTGCCTTGTTCCGAGTACCAGATTATTGTTCATACTCATTCACTGTCATCTGCTGTGTGGGTGCCATGTAGAAATTGTAATTGGGAGTTCTTGAGTCACAGTTGGACAGCGATGAATAGCTGTCCCCCTTCCTCTTAAAATCCCAGTGGAATAAAGGCAGGCTTGTATTTGGGGTGTGCTTGTATTTGGCGTACCTTTTAGTTCACCACAGGCCCGCATCCATGGCAGGAGCCAGTTCATGCACCAGAGGACCATTAGGCACAAGTGAGAACGCCCGTGGCTTCTGCACAGTCCTTTGTGGGACTCGCCTTTGGGCTCGACTCCCACTGGGAAATGACCCGGATATGAAACTCCTAAAGCAGTTGGATGAGCAGCTCTGCTCCTCAGAGCATTTATCTTGCAGACCCTACCTACTCGCCCTGGAATCTTCCAACACACAAGTCCACCACCTTGAGGAAGAGATGGAACATAATCCATTCAGCAAGACTTGGGCAGTGTGTATTTGTGTGTGTCTGCGTGTGTCTTCAATGACTTTGAGACTGTCTCCAAGTTGGCTTGTGGGATCACAGAATCACACAGTAACTGTTAGAAGGAGTTTTAGAGATCATTTCTTTACTTCATAAATAGTAGTTACCGATTCACCTGACATTTCCTGGCACTGTGTGGGGTGTATAGGATGAAGAAGATATCTTATCAGTTAGAGACCAAACACTTCACACTCAAATTAAGATAATTCAAGGAGGACTTATTTACGAAAGGGAAAGGATTATTTAAAAGAGTGTGGGTCAGGTTTAGGAGAGCCACAGAAAGTAGTACAGAGGAAAGTAACAGCCAAGGAGCAGTTACCACCTGGAGGCCTGAAGAGACAGGAGGGGGGAGTGCTCATTTGAATGTGAAAGCAGACAGTCACTCCGAGAAGGTTGCCTTGAAAGGAGAGGACCTTTAGTAAGGAAGCCCAAGGCAACATCACAAAGAGGAAGCCATTGACCCCACTCTCTTCCCTTATCCCATCAACTGCTGAGGACTCTTGTTGGCCAAACCCAACTGGAAGCCAGAGGATGAGGAACCTGTAGCAGGGCAGTCCACAAAGGTAAGTCCCCGGGGGACAGAGTAGGGCGCAAAGAGTGGAGTGGGTTTGGAGAAAGTGAAGATATCTAGCATAGACACCAGCCTTCCCATAAGAAGCCCTCATGCTACTAAAAAAAGTCCAACACATAAACAAATACAGTTAATGCTCATTATTTACAGCTTCTATACGTGCAGATTTGCCTACTGGTTGAAATTTATTGGTAACTCCCAAATCAATCCTTTCCCAGTCATCGATGGCATGCCCAGGCTGGTGCGGTGAAAACTCTGAGTTGCCCTACCCACACAGCCCCAGCTGAGGTGCAGCAAGGTGGTGCTCTGCCTTCTCATTTCAGCTCTCATTCTGTAAACAAGTATCCTTTTAGAGGTCTATTTAGTGCCACGTTTTGCACTTGGGTACTTTCTGTTGGTCATTTTGCTATTTAAAATGGTCCTTAAGCACAGAGCTGAAGTGCCGTGTAGTGTTCCTAAGAGCAAGAAGGTGTGACATCTCTTTTAAAGAAAATGTGTGTTAGATAAGTTTTGTTCAGACATGAGTTATAATGCTGTTAACTGTGAGTTTAATGTTAATGAATCCATAGGTATATTAAATAAAGTGTTTTTTTAAACATAAATGTGGGTAAAACAAGGTTATATATAGATCAGTTGATGAAAATGTTGTGACCATTGGCTCACAGGACCTAACCCTATACTTCCCCTAGGAGCAATGGTTCAGTATTCACTCATTCAGTGTCCATGGCAACTTTATAAAACATAAATACCAAATAATGAGAATCACTTGTGATTGCAAAGGGTTACGGGATGGAGCAGTGGTCACAATATATGAGCGCATAGAGAGTGAAAATACCCAAGGGATCAAGGAGGGCTTCACAGAGGAAGTGATGTTTGAGCTGTCCTGAAGGGTAAATAGGAGCTCCCAAGGAAGAGTGGGTCTAGAAGGATATTTCACACAGAGAAATCAGAATGAAACAACAACAACAAAATACATCTTATTCCACTTTCTTCCCTTGCATTATTTTTCAACTAGGACTGGGAACCTTGAGGACAAAGGCAATAGGTGCTAGCTAGCATGGTCACAGGACACTCAGTTGAAGGAGCTGAGGGGACTGTGATTTCTCACCATCCAGGTTCACTTCTACCCACACCCATCTACACCCATCTATAGCTATGAAGGAGTTTCTGGTCCCTTTCCATTTTCTCAGACTGATTTTGAGTACAAGTGCCTATAAGGTGAGTAAACTATAGAAACATTCATTTGTTTTTCCTTTCTGTATATCTCAAAGCACTTTCCCATCTAAGATGATGTTTGGTCTCTCAGCAACTTTGGGATGAGAGCGGGAGCACATGGGTCTCACCAGACAGAAAAGGGAAGTGATAGAGAGCATGTGTGAAGTTGTAGAGCTACGTAACAAAGGTGACGTTAGAACTCAAATCTCCATCCAGGTCCTGCATCCTTCCTAGGGATCACACCAAAATTCCAACTATGTTAATAATAATAATGACAATAAAAGCTTCCGTTTTTGAGCGCTTATGATGACTCTGCTTAGCGTGTTATGTTTATTATTTCATTTAATCTTCTAAGAACCCAAGGGATAGGTACGATTATGATCATTTCAATTTTACAGATGAGAACAGGGCTCAGTAAATTAGGGAAACACTTCATGGTCCCATAATTAGTGAGTGACAGAATGGGGGCTTGAAGCCAGACCTGTCTGTCCCCAAAATCCACGCTCCCCAACCATTCTGTGGGGCTGACTCTGGGGCCACCTCTGCTAGCCTCTGCCAGTAGGGTAGCTCAGGGCCCATTGTGCCTCAGCTACATTGCTGCGTTCCAAATCCTGTTCCGAATATGCTCTACCCTCCTTAACAGTTCTTATCTAAAATTATTGTGTATAGAATTTGTTTAAATAAAGATGAAATGTTCTTTGCTGTGAAGTTATGTGTAAAAGATCTGACCTTCAAGGGAGACCAGGTCCGTAGAAGTTGTGAGAAATGAGCAAAGTGAGAGAAAGACAGCATGAAGGCGGGACAGGCATTTCCAAATGGCCCAGGATGGAGCTGCAATCTTTCAGCAGCACACCAGTTATCAATATTTCATTTACAAAATAACAGGGCTACTTCTTAGGATTTCATGAGGATAAAATGAGCCAATCCATGTATAGTACTTAGCATAGAGGCTGGCCCCAAATAAACATTTAATAAATGTTAGTTTAAAACATGTGCTTTAACAAATTATCCCAGATTCAAAGAAGGAAATAAGCAACCCAGTTTCCTATGGAAAGACCTGGGTCTGGGTCCAGCCAGCCTTGAGCAATCCTTCCCCTTTCTGGGCCCCAGTTCTTTCATCTGTAAAATGAGGCAATTTTGAGCAAGTGCTCAGGTTTTATCTAATGGACAACATAAATTGCATAACTGACCATCAAGTTTCTCTTTTCCTGCAAACTACATGCACCAAGTGTGTGAGCCTACTGTATGTAGCAAGCCCATTGCATTTAGAAACTTCTTGTGTATTATTTACACTTTCTCTCCATCTCACACCCTTTCCCTTCTTTCTTTTTAAAAATTTATCATTGAGGGGCACCTGGGCGGCTCAGTTGGTTGAGCCTC